AAATCATATGGGTCAAATTACGGCCACAATCTATTTCGCAGTTGGAATGATTTTTAAAAATTTATGTAGCGTTTTTTCTGGAAAGATCACAACAAAATCTACGAGTACTCCAATTTTCAGGTTTTTTCACGCATTCTTCTGGGCGCCAAAACTCATTGAATTTTGAGTACTTTTTTAGTTGGGCCAAGCATGGATGAGTGGCAAAAATGGAAAATGTGTTGAATCGGCGCGACGATTATTTCGCAGTCTAAATGATTTTTCGTAAATGTTCTATTATTATTTCTCGAAAGAACACGACCTCATCTATGGATTCTCAAAATTTCAGATTTTTTTGCATGTTCGTCTGAGCACAGAAAATCGCCAAAGTTGCCTCTTGCAAAACGCCTGTTTCGTTGTGCTTGACCTCCCTGTTTTGAGAAGACGGGGCTCAACGCCTGGGCCTGAGGGCCCTTTTGCAATTCACATGCCCTCACTTTTTTTTGGGGTCCGCTTCTACCCGAGGACCGGTCCTTCATTTTTCCAAAAGTACCGGTTCTACCAGAGTTAGCTGTACGAGGTCCGCAATTTTGGCAAGGACCGGTCCCCCAAGAGAGAGAGAGAGACTGAATGGCAAAATTGAAATATGGGTCAAATTGCGGCCGCGATCTATTTTGCAGTTGGAATTTTTTTTTTTAATTTATTTAGCGTTTTTCTTGGAAAGATCACAACAAAATCTACGAATACTCCAATTTTCAGGTTTTTTTACTCATTCTTCTGAGTGTGAAAACTCACTGAATTTGGAGTACTTTTTTAGTTGGCCCAGGCATGGCTGAGTGGCAAAAATGGAAAATGTGCCGAATAGGCGCGACAATTATTTCGCAGTGTAAATTATTTTTTGTAAATGTTCTATTATTATTTATGGAAAGAACACGACCTCATCTATGGATTCTCAAAATTTCAGATTTTTGTGCATGTTCCTCCGAGCATAGAAAATCGTCAAAATTGTCTCTTGCAAAACGCCTATTTCGTTGTGCCTGACCTCCCTGTTTTGAGAAGACGGGGCTGAATGCCTGGGCCTGAGGGCCCTTTTGCAGTTCACATGCCCTCACTTCTTTTTGGGGTCCGCTTCTACCCGGTGACCGGTCCAACGCCCCCCACTTCTTTTTGGGGTCCACTTCCACCCGAGGACCGGTCCTTCCTTTTTCCAAAAGTCCCGGTTCTATCAGAGCTAGCTGTAGGTAGTCCGCAATTTTGCCAAGGACCGGTCCCCCAAATTTTTTTGCCCCCTAAGAAACCACTTTGCGTCCTGGTCGCCCGCCGCCAAAAATGCGACACCTTGACACAGACGCGGAAGCGAAATGGTGGGGAGCAGCACCTGCTAGAAATCGGGCCCAACGTCCCTGAACATCATGGTTGCTTATTTGAATAGATACCCGATTGTAGCTACTGCCAGCCGCATGAACCACGCTCGACAAGTTCTTGCCAGCTCCAGAACTTTTAGGAGGCCGGGCCAGACAACGGCTCACGGCTGCCGTTGATAAATCTGATCGGCCACGTCGTTTTGCTTCGGCCTCCTGAAAGTTTTGTTTCGGCCTCCTCAAAGGTCGCCGGGTGACGGCCCCGGTAACTTCAAAATTTTCAATTCTGTGCAAATTTTCATATGGGACGCTGGGCCCGGTTCCCAGCACGTGTTGCTCCCCACGAATAGATTGGAGCTTTGTTCCAAAAAAAAAAAAAAAAAAAAAAAAAAAAAAAAAAAAAA